GGATTTTTTGGGGGGCAGTATCTTTTATTGGACTAACTGGATGGTTGGAACAAAATTAGACAAGCTTTTGAATGGTCCAGTAAAAGACATTGCCCCCTAAAATCCCTACACTGGAACACACAAACTACTGGACTGGACTCAGTCCATCTAACCCAGTATCCTCCGACAGTGGCCAACACTAGAAGCCCCCCCCCCAAAGTGAGAACTTTGTAGATAATCTTCCCTCCGTGCTAGGTCTCACCCTAATTTGCAAAGAGAGATGGCCTTAAATCCTGAGGCGTGAGGTTTGACATCCTTTCTGCAAAATGAGTTATCTCCTTTTGTGATAACTCTGAATATTCTTGTTATCCATGTAAGTATCCAATCCCTTTTTATTTTTGTGTATTTTATACCCCTCTGTTTTTTAATTCTTGACAACTTCTGGCACTCAGTTGTGTAAAAAGTATCTCCTTTTATTTGCTGTGAATTTGGCTGGGAAGGTCACTGAGCTGCCAGCTGCTCTTGTATTATGAGAACAGAAGTTCTCCACCATTCATGGCTGCGTGCACGCACTCTGCTCAGGTCTCCGCTCATTCACCTCCAGACTGAACAATTCCAGACTTTTCAGTCTTTGTTCCCAGGAAAATATTTTTTTAGGCCATGGTTGAATTTCATTGCCCTTTTCTGCACCCTTTCCCTCTTTTGAGTTGATACAGTTAGTTAAAATCCCATGTGGTGTAGAATTAGTTTACCTTTTTCTTTCTGATGTACCTTACATTTGAGTTATCAACACTTGAGTTTAAATTTCCCATCATATTATGCAAGGGTGTCAAAGATACAGCCCCTGGGGTGGATTCGGCCTGCAGAGCCATATCATCCAGTCGCCCTGCAGGGTGTGCTGGATGGCCCCCCTTGCAGCATCTACTCCAATTTATGTCCAGCTGGATGAGTTTGACACCCCTGATATTCCCCATTCACTTACCTTATGTAAGTCTCTCTGAAGTTCTGGGATTTTGCACAGACTTTTCAGTCCCTGATTAACCTAAATAATATTTTGGCATTTGCCGATTTTGCTATGTTACTAACTCACTGCTTTCCAAATAGGTAATAAATATATTAAACACAGCAGAACCCACTGTGAAACCTTGAGAAACCTGCTGCCGTGGGCGGATCTGGGATTTTGAAAGGGGGGGGTGCAGATGCCATGATTCATCATCACATATAACACAACACTTCTTTTTCATAGTTTCATAGATTTAGGGTCGGAAGGGACCT